AAATGTCTGATCATAGATCTAACCCTCACTCTCATGTTTTTCATCTCTGTCAGAAATAGAACTAAAGCCTTGCTGTGCATCCTATTCTTTCTTGTGCGTCTTGAGTTTTATTTAAAAACATTCAAACCAGGCAACTGTTAAAAAGGTGGTCCTTGGAGTTGCAGCAAAGTGAGCGTTGCAAGCACAGAGCAGACAGTACATCAGCATTACGTAACTATCTGCTGCAGGCATGTGTGATTTGTATTGCTTTCTACCCCTCTTATTTTGTCCTTCCTTCATAGGCAAAAAGACAGGTAATTGACGGGTAATAATTTGTCATGTGTCCCTGCAGGAATATGATGTCAGAAGTAAATTAGCCAACCTTTGTTGTCTTGCTCGTCTTCCTTTTTTTTTTCCTTAGTCACCTGCACGCTGCAGTCTTGCTGGTAAACACATGTTAAATTTTACATTAATTATAGGTATAGTCAGTTCAGTTGTGTTGTTTCCTTATTATATTTTTTTCTGTTTTTCTTCCCGTATTCTGCTTCTTGTTGGATAAGAGGACTGAGGCATCAACTTTAGGAAAACTATAATAACATTTCTTCAGTGATTTATCTCCTGATCCTTTTTGCCTCCCAGCTCTTTGTCATCTGACCTTAATTTGTACATTACTATCTTGTCTGAAATGTGTGCTCCAAGTCCAGCTTGTTTGCAGAAAAAGTTATTTGAATGATGTTTAGAGAATCTATACTGAAATAAAGAATAAGAAATGCAGCTGTTTTCTGCAGTGTGTAAAACTGCATGAGTAATTAAGTATTAAAGCTTGGAATTGCTTTTTTTTTTTTTTTGTGAAATGTGATTTTTCAGATAACTGAAGTCATGAGGGAAGACTTGATGTGCATATGACTGATTTATGCACAGAAATCCCAGTGAAGGCTTCTAGACTCACATGCTGAACTCATCTCTCCCCTTAGTCTTTCTTGATGAAAGTTTTGGATTATCAATCTGGAGTCAGGCAGTCTTTGAGTTATGGGATGGTCAGAGCTTGATAGTATCGAACTGGGACAGGTGGAACCAAAGCCAGCAGACTCCACGGAATCCAGGTTAGCTGTCCCTGAATTTACTGTGGCATTGTAGCACCTGGATTTGGTGGGCTATGTAAAAGACTTGTGACTCAAGACTCTGAGACATCAGCCAGCTCTTGTACAACACTACAGAGGGATAAATAATTGGTAATTTAAAAAATGTGTATGAATCTTGTATGAATGTAAGTTGCGTTTTCTTTTTAGAAACAGGATTAAGAGATGAAAACTGCTACTATACACACTTTATTCCCATCCATTTCCCTGCGTAATGCTGTGTGTTGTGAATGGTTTTACAGTTATCTCAGATAAGACTTCGTTTTCTGAATCTCTTAAGTCCATTGTCATTGACTCTCACAATGTCATCTGATAAAAACCTGAGTCCAAGTCAAGTTATCTTTGTAGGTCTCAAAACACAGTCAGCCTTCACAGGAAAGGTGCACAAAAAAATTGAATCTCTTCCTCCTTCCTTTCTTTTAATGGGACTGAGCTAATAGTGTTTGGCAAATAAAATCCCAAGTAGTGTTTATTCTACACCTTTGATATAAGACACCTAGCTTACATCTAGTGTATTTTTATAGTATTTTTTGCCTTCAGAGAGCTCTTAAGTAATTGGTGTTACTGAACAGACGAGCTAGCTTACATTAGGGAAGTTCTGTTGCTTTCCACAGGTCTGGTGGTGATGTTGTAACTGGGAGATAAAATACTGCATTTAAGGGACTGTGTTAATAATACTGAAAAATACTGATTAAAGATGCATTAAGTGGTGTTACTGTTGCTTGCTTGTGACAGTTGCACTGATATTTTTAGTTTTACAAACCTCTTAATCATTAAAGATAATTTTTTTCAGTTCACAGGCTTTTTGCCTGTGAAACTCCTACCATAGAGCTTTAATAGTTTAGAAGGGCAAATTAAGATCTCCTGAAATTAGGTAAATGACAATTTAAAACCATGGGCTGTCCTTGCATCTTGTTTTTTGGAATGTAACAATAAAAAAATTAAACTTTTGAATTTATTTCTGTGATGTTTTTATCTGTGACCGGTTTGTCTAGTAAGAACGTTTTTTTTTTCTTGAAATAATAGTTTTAATATTTTTATAACTTTTTTTATGAAGCATCCTGTCTAAATGAAAAGATATAAACATTGAAGTGTGTTTGCATATACAGTAGTAATGCAGTTAATGCTTACAAAGTAAGACATTTTCTTCATGTTTTTCACTTTTTAGTTAAGTTTTAAAATACTTTAATGTTTCATACGAACGAGGAAGTAAACCTCTTTGTGTGTTCTTCCCAAACCAAGGTGGTCAGGTGCCAGATAGCTACACTCCTTTCTTTCTGTTCCCCTTTGCAAATTTAAAGCATGATAGTTTAATTTTGTGCATTGCCATCACTGTCAGGTTGTTTGGATCTCTCTTTCAGAGGGCCACAGGTTAAACACCCAGCTTGCAGCTGCTTCACAGGAAGAAATGCTGGCTCACTGGTACAACAGTAATAACAGCAGTTGCAATAGCTTTCTGATTCTTTATGTGGGCGTAAATTGTGGCATGTGGGCAGTTTCCTTTCTTTTTGGTGTGGGCATAGAGGGACATAAGGTGGTTTTTATCAACCCTGGACACAAAATGGTTTAGTTATATAGGGCACCAGTTTTACTGTGCTGAAAAAAAAGAGTAGTAAAAACCAGAAAGATGTACCTGGGTCGTTTCTCTCAGGTTTTTCTCCAAAAGTCTTGGTTGAGTCTTCATGAGGGTAGTGCAGGAAGAGAGGGGTGGGAACAGGCTTGTCCTTTGTGGTGGCAGAAGGCTGCTGGCATAGCTGAGGCTAGCTTGTGATACTGGGATTTTTTAGATTCTTGAAAGACACACAAAGTCAAAACAAAGATGTACCTGATCTAAGCAGTGACAATACATAATGTACTGACACTTCAGAGCTTCAGGCTGTGGTATGTGTACATGCTGCATCTAGTAAATCTTCTAATCCTATTAAAAAATGCAGAAGTTCAGTAATGGAATATTTTCATATAGCAGGGTTCTTAGCAGAAGTCAGCTGAAGTGTGGGCAAGCTGGAAGTTTTCATGCTGCTTTAAAAAAGGTAAACTAGGCACTCAGCTTCTTTGTATCTGAAAAATGTGGTAAGCATATCAGGATAACCTTAGAAATCAAGTGCTACGTTAATAGAAAATGTTAGGAGCAGTCTTACTTTGAAAATTTCTTCCTACTGTCAGTGTTGACAAAACAAGGAAGATGTGGCAACTGGTAGTGTCATCACACCTAACTTTGTCAGACTTCAGTGCTCAGTTTACAATTGTAGACTTGAATGTTGTGTTGAGTTTCGTAGCCTCAAACCTCCTTCTAGATTTCAGGTGCATCAGCTACTTTGGAACGAACAAATGGATGTAGAGTGGTTCATGCACATGAAACAAGCCATTTTAAAATGGGTAAGAAAAGTAATCCCAAAAGATTCAGTTAAGAGATTGAAAAAAAAATGGCAACTTGTTAAGTTGGAGAGGTGCTGCCAACTCTTCCTGC